AGTGCATGGGCTGGGTGGGGGCGCAGAGGTGGCCGTGGGGTCCCTGCGAGCGGGCAGGGACCCCAGCAGGGAGCGGAGGGCGGGCAGCCCAGCACGGTGCTCTGCCCTAGTCCCACTCCCTCAGCAGGAGCAGGCAGGTGGGGGGCTCCACTGTCCCTCGGCAAGCATACCACAGAATGTTGGGCCAGTGCCCCGTCTGCTACCCAAACTCCTTCCCAAGACCTTTGCTTGCTATAGCAGCAGAAGCAGTCCTGGTTAACTTGGTGTGGCCTTGAGTGTCCTGGTAGGACCCCCCCATGGTCCACCCAGCCATGCCTGCCCGTCACCCAGCACTGCTCTCATCACCCACCTCCCTTTGACAAGCATACACACTCCTTTCCTTCTGCTCCCTCCCTCCGCTTTGGAGGTCACCAGGTGCTACAGGCTTTTCCCTCCTTTTCATTCATTGAAACATCCGATACCTCACCATTTACTTTGAACTGTTTCTCCAGATTTACCCTTCTGTCCCTGGGGCTATTTTTCAAATACCCCTTGATTATTAACAAGAGAGACTGAGCATGATGCCTGTGGACATGTGCAACCCCTGCTGCTCCTGCAGTTCTAACCACGGCCATCACATCTCCCATGCCCAGGCCGCTGCCTGGCTCTTGGCCACATTATACTGGCAGCGACAGGAGCCGGCTACGGGCTGCACATAGTTACCCATTGCCCCTTCTGACAGCCCCCAGCGGGCTCCGGGTTAGTCATGCAGAGTCCTCTACCTAGAGGTAAGCATGATAGGGCCTCAAACCCCAGTCATGTTGTATTTGCTTACTAGATGACGGTGACACAATGGGATAATATGTATTTTTTCACTGGCCACGACTCTTCAAAGAGGTTGCCTTTTGATGAAGTTTCATTGTAAGTAATTCTTTAAGAAAGAAGGCCGGGGGTGCTTTCGAGGGATTGCTTCATTTTTGGGAGGCTTTGCCTCTGTAATATCTACACTCTTGTCTGTCCTGTGTCTCTGATGCCCAGCAGGCAAACGCAAAGGCCCTGTGGGCTCAGAAGAGGTGGTTTCCTGATATTATGTGCAGTACAAGGCATTGCAAAACTCACCCCAGTTAGATGTTGTCAGCTTTCAAAGCAGGCAGCCAGTGGTGACATGTGGTCAGTGGATGAAGACAGTGCTCCTCAGAGGAAGGCTCTGACAACCCATTTGTACTGAGGACTCTGTAGGAAGACTGAGAAGGTACTTTCAGCGAAGGGTAAGCTTTTGGCCAAGAGCAGCATGACAAGTGTATACAAGGGCACAGGGAATGTTCCTGTGGGGAGCAGAGCACCAGGCCACATGTGGTCATACCAAAAGAGGCAGCAATTTGATCCTCTCCCATTGCCCTCCAGCAGAGAACTTCGTCAAATGTTGACCATTAGCCCATGTCAAAGTCACAGGCAAAAACAGTAGTGCTTGTATAGACAGAGCTCCCCACTACATGAGCTCCCAATCACATCTAGCTTCTGCCTTTACTCAGGAGTTCCCTGCAAGAATGGGGAAACCATGCCTGCATCCTCACACCCACTCCTGCCTATGTTTTCCCACCAAGCATCTGGCATTGACTCACCAATCTTGCGAGACGCTCACCCAGAGCCAAAATAGGTGTTTCATTTTCCTGTTGGAAAGGTGTTTTGTCTCCTGGCAACCTCCATCTCCAACAAGCACTAGAGCAGGTGGGTGCCCACCTGAACACAGAGTAGATCAGGAGTATGAAGTTTGCTGGCTGCAAACTCTTGCCTTGGCTTGGATGCTGGCAGAACCATGGCAGCATGGCCAGCTTCTTTAAGATGATATGAGGGCCTGTGCTGCCAAGCAGGTGACCAGCACGTTCTCTGATACATGCTGCCTTCCCATTTATGCCGTGCAGCAGTGTTCCTGATACTTTTATGTGTTAAGGATAAAGGCTTTAAGTTCCATCAGGGATGGTCAGTGATCTGTTATCTCTTATGTAAAAAGCCCAAAAGAATGTGCAGGTGACCTGAAATGCGTGACATGGGCCAAGTTTTGTGGCTGTGTTCTCTTGAAGTCACATTTGAAAGTGGTCTGAGCATGATATTCCCGCATGGATATTGATTGAACATTGACAGAGAAACTGCTGTGCCCACAGCTGCTGGCGGTTTGGATCTTCCCACATTCCCATCCAGCATCCTATGGTGCTTAGACTTTGTGAGACAGACAAACCCCACCAAGCATATGACATCTGTAAGCACATGCTGACCCTGTCCCCCTTCACAAATGACAGACCAGGGAGTCGTGCTACTGCACCATTCGTCTTGGCAGGCTACATCAGCGCATCCTTCTGCAGACGCGCGTTGCTCGGATTTCCCCTCTGGCTTCTGACTGAACGGAGATCTCCGGATGCTGGTGAGTTTTGGGGGTTGGTGGTGCAGTATGTCCTCCCAGAGACATTTTGGACTGGAGGGAAGGTGGCTGATGGTAATAGCAGACGTTCACCAGCTGGGGGAGTTCACAGTTCAGAAACAATCGCAGCCTATGGAACAGTTGTAATAAAACGCCTAGCACCTCTTCAGACTTGGTGACCGTAGAGCCTTTGTTTACCAGGTTTATTGCAGTGCAGTTGAGGATGCCCTGTGACTCATTCCAGTGTACACCCACCAGCAGTCCGAGGAAGCCACTGCAAGGCACACCCTCAGAAGTAAGCAACGAGAAAGCGTAGCTGCTACAATCCAAAGGAGATGGTGCACTGGCAAACTGGTGCAGAGCTGCAGCTCTCATCCAGTGACAAGAGGTAACAGCTGCTGCTTCAGCTCCACTTTGCAGTAGCCCAGGACTGGCATGGGACAATGCAGCACAAGACCTGACGGCCCAGGTCCCTGGGTTCAGCAGGGAGGATCCTAGCCTTCGCAACATCCCCTTTGGATGCCTTTAGAAAGCACAGGCAAGAGAGCTCAAATGCTTCATCTTAACCAACAACTCAGCCCGGCCTCATTTACATGCACAGAGTTTTTGCCAGCAACACAGGCCCAGGGCTGTGCCCAGGCCACGCTCCCCCTGTGCTGTCCTGCTGGGGGACACTGTTCAGCCCTTCCTGCCTCCTGGCCTGGGATGCCAAGCACACCACCAAACGACACCAAGATGGGCAGCTTTAATTGGTGGACAACGTGGCTTCCAACACATGCAACGTGGCCATCAGAAGTTTGAACAGTATCATTACACTTTCAAAAGCATTTCTTACCCTTCCTTATCCATAGCCAGTAACAAGGTTTGAGGCATGTGCTGCAAACATCCTTCGTGTGCTGCTTCTCAGGTATTTCCATGATGACATTTCAGAAAAGACTGCCTTGCTGGCCTCTTGCTAGAGGCTTCATGCTATTTTACTCCTGGTTTATCTTGGCTTTTAAAGTCTTCTCCCTAGGAAGAACACATAAGGACTTGTTGCAAGTCATTCCTCAGTCTGTGATTCTGTCCAGTCATTTCAAATCTCTTGCCTGTTTCCTGAATTGTTACTGCTTCCTTTGCTTGCGTGGTTTTTGCCCTTCCTCTGTGCCCCCAAATAGTCAATGTCTTCTAGTCATCTGCTCATGCACTCACTGACAGGATGTGTAGCTCAATCCTGGCATTCACCACGCACAGTTGGGAGAAGTGTAATAGTGTCTTTGTCTCTACAGGTGGGCTGCTGACCCTGTGCAGTTAACACCATTTCCAGACAACTCCTCCACCCCTTCTTGAACAAACTCCAGTGGGCTCTGCATTTGGCAAGTTCTTATCCTACACAAATGTAATATAAAAACTAGAGCACAGACAGGAAAATGGGGTGACCAGCCCAACTTACCCTCTGGCTGGCTTGGTGTGTCCCACCAACACAGCAGCCTCATGCTGATGACAGAGACAAAGCGCACCTGGGCCAGGTCCAGTCTCTCTCCAGCTCCTCAGCAGGGCTCTCCAGCAGGCTTCCAAGCAAGCAGGAGTGAAAGACTTCTGGGTGCCAGTGAGACAGAAAAGTGACTTTTTTTTCTCCTTCTAGTATCTCACACTGAAAATGCAGCCTGTATTCAGCAGCCTGCAGTCAGCGTACGATACCTCTAGCATCCCCCTGGACTGTCCTAGCCTGCTCTACCTTGCCACTGTGCTTGGTCACCACTGCCCCAAACCTCTGTTCCAAGATCAGCTGTGTGGAGATCCTGCTGCCTTCCACCTGCCTGGCCCCACACACAACAAGCATACATTGTACATTCCCCATAAGCATTTCAGCAGGCCACAAAGTGTTCCACGTTTACTCCTGATAAATTGGCTGAGGACATCTAACACCCTCTGACAGTCTCACTATGATTAATGGGTGCTGTATTGTCACTTTTGCAGATGCGGGTGAAATACTTCTTTTTTTTTTTTTTTTTTTTTTTTTTTTTGGTCAATGTGGAGCTGCCTGCAGGAGGGACAATAAGTGCACCTTACATTTTACTTTTACAGTAACTGAAAATTCAGAAATCTACGGCTCAATATACAAAGGATGCCATTGCCAGGGAGGTATTTTCTGCACACGTGTATGTAGAGAGGCCATTGGCTGCTCCAGGCAAACGATTACTGACAACATTTGGGTTTCTACTGTTTCTGTCTTTAAACTGACAAGAATCATTCAAAAATGGACATTTGGCACAGCCCCACGTAAATCTTGCAGACCCAATGTTCATCTTTCATTTCTGATCAGGGCAGACTCTTGACTGCACTGCAGAGAGCATGTTAGTTACTTAAGACAGTGGCACAGTGCCATCTTGCACTACAAACACCGTTTCTTTCCATTAACATCTGACATGGATTTGTAGTACCCACCCCACAGAATTCACAGGATTTGTGTAAACAGTTTTGAAGTTGTTCT